GACATCGAAGTTAAAGGGAGATGAAGATTCAAACATTTTATGAATATAACACTCAAATACCAAGCGAGCGTATTCGGTTCCTATTGAAACCCACGAAATGTAAGATTTTATGTAAAGTAAAATATATGGAATTTGAATTCTCAGACGTATATTTGCGGCAGTAACTTCATCAGTCTGGTCTGGGCATTAAGCATTATGAGACTAGGAGATAATCGAAGTTCAAAATAGAACAGATTAGCGTTCTTGCTGGTGCATTTGTATTGAGACAGAAGGTGTCTGTGATGTATTAATGGTCAAGGTATTCATAAACATGTTCGCCATGGTACCTATTCCAGTTTGAGTAGAAACTTTCACTCTGCCGATGTTCCGGTTTGATTAGAAACAAACTTTTCTCTACCTCGGAATGGCAACAGTGAGAACTTGACTTTCGATTTGTTATGACGCAGCTAGAACGCTGCTCATGAGATGTAACATTAGATTTGATTCTAGATTAGATTAATTTTAGTATTTTAATAAAGCCTTTTAAAACTAGATTTAGTATTTGATCATAGAATTATAACTGAACCACCGCTTGCAGAAATTTAGATGTAGCATTTAGATACGTCGTTAGATTGACAGTTAGATGCGTAGGCAGCGCCATTCGTTGATTCGATTAGTTTACATTATTGCGTACATAAAACATTTTTTGGTGCTACATGCCGGGAAGCCGGCTAATATTCGAAAATATGAAATTCGTAAGTATGGATTAGCACGGTGTGAAGTGTGCGAAGCCTGCAAACAGGTAGGATAAGTTTTCAATTCTAAAGTGTAATTATGGAAGATTCTGTCGCTAAGCTTAAATCGAAACGCAAAGTATTAAGGACCGCAGTGTCCAAGGTACTAAAGAAAATTGAGACAGAATAAAGCAAAGATGACGTTAGTATAGATGTAATAATGAAACTTTAGTTTCATCCGCTCTAGATTATGAAGAATAAATCCAACTGTGGCAATTTAGAGTAAAGAAAAACTCAGGGAATTACACAAACTCGAAAATTCGGATAAAGGAAGTATGAACATTCCTAATGAAACCGCTAATAAATTTATTCGCCTTTCAAAATTGACTATCTCTAAATTTTTTGGTGATTCTAGTAATTGGCAGGAATTTTGGAGTCAATTCGAGGCAGCTATCCATAACAATGACTCATTAACGAAAGTAAATATGTTCAGTTACTTAAAATCGTTACTAGGTGGGGTAGTTTATAATGCTGTTTCCGGACTTTTGCTTACAAATGAGAACTACGATTCAGCTATAGAATTGTTAACTAACAGGTTTGCGAGAAAAGATTTGGTAATAAATGCTCACATGAATAAACTGTTAAATCTTTTCCCTTTTAGAAATGTAAGGGATATAGAAAATCTTCGGAATTTATATGATCAGTGTGAAACTCAAATTAGATGCTTAAAGTCAATGAACGTGGTATCAGAAACTTACGGTAGTTTACTTTGCCCGATATTGTTAAAATTAATTCCATCAGAGATTACGTTAGAATACAGTCGCAGTAGAAACAGTGACCAAACATGGAACGTTAACGAATTGATGGAATTTATTCGTAAAGAAATCGAAAGCAGCGAAAGAGCTACGCAGTTAAATGACGGTAGAGAAACAAAACCAAAACACCGAGCGGAAATGATTCATAACTGGAGGCATAAATCAAACGATCGTCTCCACTCCGCTCACGATAATGTAAACAAGAAGTGCAGTAAACAGTTTGGAAAAAATTCGCCGAAAACGTATGAATATATTGCTCCAGTCGCTAGGAGTAAATGCATATATTGTGACGAACTACACGATTCGGAGCGCTGTGAAATTAAAACCGTGGAGGAGAAAAGAAATATTTTGAAATCTCAAGCCCGATGTTTTTTGTGCGTAAAATCCCAGCATAAAATTAAGCAGTGTAAGGAAAGAAAAATGTGAGAAATATGTAATAAAAAACACAATAGGTCTATTTGTTTCCAACTCGAAACCAAATCGGAGAAAAACAAGGTCGTGTCGACAATTCCCTAAAGAAGATATTCAAATTAGTCAATTAAAAACCGAAACTTTCCGCAGTGCATTGCTACAAACGTGCACTGTGATGATACGTCCATTTTCTTTTAAGGATAATTTAGAACCAGTTCGTATTCTATTAGACAATGGATCGATGAGAAGTTTTATAATTCGGGACATTTCAGAGAAGTGTAAATTACCTGTTATTTGACAGGAGACTTTGTCCGTAATACGTGCAACTAATTTACCTTTCCTTGATATCCCAGTTTCCAAAATTAACAAAGAGTTAATAGGATTACAGTTAGCTGATTCTTGTGAATTCAGTGACAAAAATATTGCTGTTTTGATCGGAGCAGATTACTATCATGAAGTAATAACTGGTAGATTTAAACGTTTTAAAAATAAACTTAAAGCTTCCGAAACAATATTTGGATGGTGCCTTCAAGGCCGTATTGATTCTAATGGTGAATTGTTAAACATGGACATTATTGTTGGCGACAAATTGGTCTCAACCCAATTAAAGCAGTTTTGGGAATTAGAAACATTGGGAATTGAACAAGGGAAGGAAATTCGTAAAATAGATAATGACATTTTAGAGAATGTAACAGAACTATCAAATTTAAAGAAAAGCGATATGAGGTTAAACTCCCTTGATCCTTGAAAATCCTTTTGAATTAAAAACGAATTACGTAAATGCAGAAGTTCGCTTTAATAAACTGGTTAAAAGGTTGAGAAATGATCCACTGCTTCATCAGCAGCATCACTCAGTTATAAAACAACATTTAAAAATGGGTATAGCTGAGGAAATTGATCCAAGTTCTGAAGAAACAGGAAGAATTTATTACATGCCTCACCAGCCAGTTATTCGACCTGACAAACCCGTGAGAGTTGTATTTGATGCATCCAGCCATTCAAAAAAACGAATATTCTTTAAACGATTGTCTCTATTCCGATTCTAATTTAAATCCACCATTGTTAGAGACATTAATACAATTTCGTACACATAGCATAGCATTTACTGCCGACAGTGAACAAGCCTTTCTCCAGATTTCTCTGTCACCTGAAGATATGGATGCTGTAAAATTTTTTTGTGGGCAAATAACCTTACAGATAAGGATGGCCAACCTAACACGAAAATACTTAGGATGACTCGCGTTTTGTTTGGAGCTACATCCAGCTCATTTTTGCTTGCCGCTACTATCAAACATCAGATAAATACCTTTAAAGAAACAAATCAGAAAGCAGTTAAGATATTGAACGAATGTTTATACGTAGACGATTTAATAGGAGGGGATGAAGACGAAAACAAAGCCAAACTCATATATGAAGATATTAGATATATATTGAAGGCTGCTGGTTTCAACGTGCGAAAATGGAAAACAAATTGTGCGAATTTGCAGGATGTTTTTGACGAATACGAAAATGGTGAAATCCAGAAAGTTCTGGAACAGAAGGTACTGGTATATAAATGGAATTACAAGGAAGACCTTCTGAAGATAGAATTACAAAATTAACTAATCAAGTTCAAAGGAAAACAAATGACAAAAAGAGAAGTTCTTAAAACCATTGGAAAGCTTTACTATCCCATTGGATTCATAAGCCCATTCACTATTACGGCAAAAATACTAATGCAGGAAATTTGGCAACTTGGAGTTGATTTGGATGATCCGTTACCATTGGACTTTGAAAAAAGAATGAAAAAATGGATTAATGAACTATCAGCGATTCAGGATGTAAACATTCTGGGACATTACTTCCGAAAGACTAAGAAGTCTGAATTGAAAGATATTCAAATGCATTGCTCTATCGACGCAAGTCAGAAGGCATATGGAGCTGTGATATACCTGCGATACGTCACGACGGACAGTGAAATAGGAAGTAGTTTTGTTATTTCCAAAACCAGAGTAGGTCCACTGAAGAAGCTGTCCCTTCCAAGATTAGAGCTGATGGGGCCGCTCATCGGAGCAAGATTAGCCTCAAATGTGAAAGAACAGTTAGAGAAAATGTGAAAGAACAGTTAGAACTTTCCAGGTCTAAATGTGAAAGAACAGTTAGACGGCCAGATGAATGTATATTTTTGGTCAGACTCTTCTGTTACGTTACAGTGGATAAAGGGAGATTTAAATAAATGGAAGCCATTCATCCAACATCGAGTAATGGAAATACGAGAGAAAACATCCCCTGTGTCCTGGAATTATTGCCCTGGAGATGAAAATCCGGCTGATATGCTGACCAGAGGAAGGAAGACAAATTCCACGAAAGGAATAACGTTGTTTGAACTACGAGATAGTGACATGTGGTGGCATGGACCTAAGTCGCTATTACAGAGCATCGATTCGTGGCCGAAACTTGCAGACTCAGTAAGAGATTTAAAAGATAATGAAGAGCTTGAACTTCGAAGGGGAGCTGTAGTGAACTCAAGAGTCACAGGCGAAAATTCCATTGAGAACGAATTCATTAAAAGGTATTCGTCATTCAGCAAATTGATTAGAGCTACTGCATGGTGTTTAAGGTTTTCGAACAACTGTAGAACCAATCCACCATTAAGAAAAGTTTTTTGAGTACTTCTGAACTACAGAATGCAACAAAAGTGCTAGTCAAATGTGTACAGCATTCTGAATTTCAATCTGAAATTAAATGCCTGCAGTCGAAACGATCAGTTCCAAGTAATAGTAAGGTTTTATCTTTAAATGTATTTCTTGATGAAGATGAACTTTTACTAGTTGGCGGGAGACTACGTTTCTCCAATCTTTCAGAAGATCAGAAACATCACTTTCTTTTACCCAAAAGACATCATTTCACCGAATTACTCATAGATTATTATCACAAAAAATCTCTTCATTTGGGCGTTCAAACAACACTTTCTCTTATTAGACAATTATACTGGATACCTTCCGAACAAGATAGAGTTAGACGCGTTATAAGTAAATGCATGACGTGCTTTCGAACAAGGAACCAAACCATAAACCAAATGATGGGAGACTTACCTAGAGATAGAGTTGTAATAACTAGACTATTGGAAAAAATAGGACTGGACTTTCCAGGTCCAGTTATCCCCAAACCTAATTTGAAAAGATCTAGAGTTACGTCTAAATCATACATCGCGATATTTATTTGTTTCAGTACAAAGGCTATTCATTTAGAAATAGTATCGGATTTGTCTACTGAAACATTTCTAGCATGTCATAGAAGGTTTATTGCCAGACGATCTAAACCATCCATTGTTCGAAGTGATAACGCTACGAACTTCAGGGGAACGAAGAATGTTCTTGATAAACTCTTTAGAATTCCTCCTTCTTCCCCGCATTTTGGCGGATTATGGGAGGCTAATATAAAATCAATGAAGAGAATTTCGACAAAGGTTGCGAAAACGACAATTTTGAACTTTGAAGAATAGAAGCCTGCTTCAACTCTTGACCTCTGTCACCTATTTCGGCTGATCCAACAGATCTTCAGCCTTTGATTCCAGGTCATTTCCTAATAGGAGCTCTACTTTTGTCGATACCGGAACCGAATGATTCTGTAGATTCTTTGACCTTGTCTTTTAGATCGACTTTAATTCAAAAACTTAGAGCTAATTTCTGGAACCGCTGGAGCGTGGAATATATTCATCATTTACAGAGCCGTTCAAAATGGAATCAAGTGAAATCCAATCTCAAGGCAGGACAACTAGTCTTATTAAACAAAATGCCGTGTGCCTACCCGGAATCGAATACGGAATATTTAAGTAGCTAGCTGAATCTGCTAAGAGTTATAGTACAGGATCATATAAGTCTTGTGATGTGTAAAAGGGAAAAAATAAATAACTGAGAATAGATGACAATTAAAGTAAATACAATTGTAGACTTTATAGATGTGCTTTAATCAACGAGGCATTGAAGGAAAAATAAAAGCAATAAAGCAAACTGACAAAGGATTTTGGATTTCGGCGTTTTGACTTTCTGTTAACACTAATACCAGATTCGATAACTTCAAAGCTATATTTCCTTCCTTTTCTTAAAGTTTTGGCTTGGTTTCAAAAATCAAATTTCAGATCTATATCTCGGCAGAATTCGCGAAATATCTACTAAAATTATTGTCTATTTCATCTAAAACCAGTGTTACGCAATTTAAATTTCATCATAAAGGAAAGGAAGCATATGTAGAAGAAAAATACTCCAGTTTTGTCTTGTTTATCTCTGTTAGTCTCCTGTTTTAATTCTGCAAGACACTATTGAAAGCTTGTATTTTTTATAGAAAAAACAGAGCCAAAAATTTTCTTGAATCAAAGAATTACGCTTTCTACATATATTTTCCCTTTGAATAAAATGAAGATAAATTTGTTAATACCCAAACATATTTACATAACCATATCCATTACATAAACATACTTACATAATAATATATTTATATAAGCATATTTACACAACAATACATTTACATAAACATATTTTAAGTAATAACAGTATTTACATAATTTATACCATACATAATTCGATTTGTTGTCTGTGTTAGCCATTTGAAAGTGTAAAATAAAACTAGATGAGTTAAAATTTTGAAGCAGGAGATGTGAAAATTTGCAATGTCCACGATGGGATTCGAACGTGGACTTTTCGAATACGCGTCGAGTGTGCTACCGTTATATTCAAAAAAGCATGCGAAAATGAGGCAGAAAATGCATTTTACAGTTATTAGCATGAAATTGGTGCCCATCACAAGTTTTAAAACAGCGGCTAACATTCATGCTAATTTTATTTCATTTCATGGAATATAATGGCGTATAAATATTTTGTTTCACCAAAGTTTGTTGTAAGTAAATGAATATTTTATCAGGTTAACACCATAAAATTCTTTTATATATACTTCTTTTGTAAAACTTCATTTCATCTGCTATGTAAACTTTTCTTCTGCACTTAGAATAGCACCCAAATAATCATTGTGAAAGAAAGTAAACCCCTTTGTTTCCATCGTTTAGTAATTAATTTCTATGTTCAGAAAATAGTTAATGGGTTGTACGGAATTTATATTTTAGTAACTTCAGCTTTAAAGAGTTTCTAAGTACATTCTTATAAATCTCTTTATTCTGAATGCATTTTTTTTTGTTTTTATATTTTGAGTGTTAATCAATCGTAGAGCTTTTAAATACCAGTTCTCTATAAGAAATAAAAGCTTTGAAACTCTCTGCTTTAATTTAGGAATTCATTAGCTTTCATTACCAAAACAGGAAAAGATTTTGCTAAACTTCTTTCTACCGCTTTTGTCTGAAAGAACCCAAGATCCTGAACATTTTGTGGTTTCTTTTGTTTCCAGGATATATAGAAACAGACATTTTTCTTTATATGTGTAGGAAGCAGCAGTGATACTTCGTTAAGCGGAGAAAAACGACTCTAAAGATAAATTGCGACTATGTGAAAGGAATTTAAATTGAATATATTAACATTATTTTCTTCATTTGAATAAGATGGCTAGTAAAATCAGAAAATAATATGTATTATCCGTCTAGCAATTAAAACCTGTTTGTTGTAACATTTTCGCATAAATCTTTTTTTTTCTCTTGAAATGTCTTAACTTTTCTCTTAACTTTGAACTGTTCTATTTATTTGCATCATTACGAGTTGTGGTTACTGTAACAAAAGAGCCTGCCCTTATGTTCAAAGTCTTTTTAAATGTAAAGGTTATTTTAAAACATTCCTTAAGCTTTGTCTACTATCTTAGATATAGAGATAATTCGCTATGTGTTTGTTAGGGCTATAAAACTTAAAATTAGCAGTACCAGATAAGTAACCTTATAAATGTACTATGCAATTAAGTCCATTTAAATAAAAGGGTTATTGTAACCTTCCTAAGACTTAGCAGTTGTTCTTAGACATAGCGATAGATCGCTTCATGTCTGTTAGGGTGCAAGACTTAAGTACTATGACCAGATCATGAGTAACTCTATAATAACTATAAAGCCATATCGTAAGGGATTATAATACAAATGTAACTTAATGCAATTATCTGTTATCAAAAAGGTTTGTATTTCTTCAAAAAATGTATTATTATATACAAGCCGCTTGTAAAATTTGAAAAATAATTTTAATGTTCGCATTGAATACACTGAAAATTTGAATGTGAGAGTATGGCTCATAAAACAGCTAAACTGCTATATACTATTTGATTTTGATATTATGATTCACGAAGAATAGAGGGCGTTGAAGGAGGATATTTAAGTACATGGGCATTTATTAAAAAAAATATGTGCGCTACGCTTCGGAATTTAAAATTTATCCGAGAAAAATATCCCAACATAAAAGTTGTTACTGAACTAACAGGTTTGACTTCGTCTTCTTATTCAGTGAAAGCAGTCAATATGGAAAACAAGAAATAACCTGAATATTTTTTAACGGAGTAATATAGGAATTAAGTTCAGCCTCTTTATGCCATATAGTAAAAGAAATGCATTAATTAATCAAGCGAAGCCATAAATTTAATTAAAACCTAACAATTTTGCAGCTAAAATCTGTGATTTTTTGTATTTGTAGAATTAAAAATAATAATAAAATTGAAACTTTCAGATTTTACATTACGCATAACGGGGCGTTTTTTTTACATTTTGTGTGTTACCTCTATTTATTGAATATCATGTTCTTCGCACTTAAACCAAAAAATTCAAGTCAACAGCAATATCATAAAATAATTTTAAAATGAGCATATCTTTAGAATTTCCGATGCACAGTCTCGCGTGCTGGAAAGGGAAATTTTTTTTCTTCGTACAGTGTTGCCATTGCTCACTTCGAAATCGTTGCGTTTGTTAATGAAAAATTCGTTAAAGTGTAACAAAATATGAATTCGATGATAAAACAAAATTCCAAATTAGAACTTCCATATGCCCACACTCTGTGGAGGATTACGTTATTCAAATTTCGATGGCTCTAAACACCGTTGTTTTATCACAATGCGAGAAACATACAAATATTTATTCATATTTCTCATTATTGTCTTTAAATATAACATAGGACGATAATATTTGGCGGCAACAATTTGAAAATTGAAGCGGACATGTAAAGTTTTCGACACAAAATGGCAAGACGAAATTAATAGCCCTTCTGGGCTAATGCCTTTTGGGCTAACACACCAATTTTTTTAGAAGCGTTTGTTTATCTTCTTACTCTAACTGTTATTTTTAAATTATAAATGTGAAATTATTTGAAATTTAAATTATATTATTTAGTAAAATATAAAGCGGTCGATGAAGAAACCATTCTTTTAAAAGAGCCAACGAAAGAAAAAGATTAGAAATCCATAATTTAAGGCAATAAAGTGGAATGAAATTGTTTTTTTGCTTTCGTAGAATAATGTGGTTACATAAATTTTAGCTTCTAAATTTCGTTTTATGAACGTTGTCTTCTAATCATTAATACTGTTACGAATTTGGTATTTAAAAAGCTAATGTTAGTTCAATTACAAATTAAATGGTTTTATTTCTCGCGCAGTGCAGCGCGTGACGAATATTAAAAGAAAGCTAAGCCGGAAAATTAAAAATACAAGAGCGCGTGCGTTAAATAAATAAATATCTCTTTTTGATTTCGAGAAAGTACTGGAAAATTCTAGCGCGTGATTTTAAAATCTTATAAAAGGAGGAAAACATCTCAGTTTGTAGTAGTTGCTTAGTTTGTTGTTGTTTAGAAAACTGCTCGTTGTTGATTGTAGCGAATTCGCGGATTAGCGTTCTTTAGCTGTTTTGAATTACGTTCTATTGGACATTTGAGTAGTTAAAAGATAACTACTGTGAGATATTGTAATACTGCATGATAATTTGAGAAAATTTAATTTAAGCATTTTTGTTGTGATAATAATAAATTTTTGTTCATTTTTCATCATCGGACTTGTGCATTCATTTCATAACGAACCCGTACGCACGCAACAATTTTTGGTGTCAGAAGTGGGGTTTTTGAATGCCAATAACAAGAGCGATGGAAGAGCAATTAAGACAGCTGATATCAGCCTTTGCTGCATTTAAGGAAGAAATGAAATTGGGCCAAATTCCGTTAAAGGAGAGATGAATCCGTTAAAAAGGAAATGGAAGCCGTTCACGAAAAGTTGGAAGCTGGTCAAGTAACTTTTAAAGAAGACATAAAAAGCTGTACAAGAAAGATTGAAGCAGGTCAAGACGAAATGAAAAGAGAAATAACCTGCGTAATAGAAAGTAAATTTGAGGCTATGGAAGGCAGAATAGGACGCTGTTGAAAATAAAGTTGGGCAAATTGAAGAAAAGGTTTCTTCTGTCAAAGATGAAATAGAAGAAGAGTGTCGGCTGTGGAGCAACGAGTCGAAGGAAGAGTTTCGGCCTTCCAACAACAAATTGAAGAAAGAGTTTCTGCCGTCGAACAACAAATTGATGATAGGGTTTCTGCTGCCGTCGCCAAAGAAGTTGAC